TATAAATTTTAAATTTAATTATTAATTGGTATTAATAAATTATTAAAGTCAACTTCAAAGTATAAGGTATCAGGGGCTACTTATTTGGAATTGAATTTGTATTTTCACTTATTTCACTAGTATAATAGTAGTCTATTATATTGTATTGTCCGAATGTTCCAGAAAGTAATAGTTTGAAATAAATAGCAAAATCATTGTAAAAAAAGAAATAAAATATGTACATAATTTATTTAGCTAACGGTATCTACTTTAGATGCTATTTCTAACAGTAGCATAAAGAAGAGGGGAGTAGCCCCCGTCACTCAGGGATAGTAGATAAGTAGATACCATTGGTTCCATGGTGGAGTTCGTTGAATTATTTTCACTTTGCTACTTTTTAGGGTAGTAGGAAAAGAGCGAATATAAAGGTAGGAGACGAAAAATTAGAAGAAGTGGCAGAGTTTAGGTATCTAGGAAGTCAGATAAGTCAGGACGGAAGAAGTAGTAGGGATACAAAGCAGAGAATAGCGCAGGGTCGAGTCGTCTTCAATAAAAATAAGTCACTTCTATGCTCGCGAACAAATTAATTTAGAAATTCTAAAAACGTTGTTAAAGGTATATCTTTGGAGCACGATGATGTACGGGTGCGAAACATGGACAGTGGGCGCGGCGGAAAAGAAAATGTTAAAAGAAAGAAAACTAAGTTAATTTCGCCAACTTCGTTGAGGTGCGTGTCGAACTAGTCTTAGGGCTGACGACCTTATGATGATTCTTGTTACGCCGTTGTTTCGCAGAAGAATTATTACCATTTACAGAAATATCTTTACAAGGTGAGAATGTCCCTTGCACCTGCATGACGCAGTCTTGCGATACGTAAAATCCAATGAGATCAGGAACATTGGGCGTTCCGGTGGCAACTTTTGAATTTGCAAACGGAATTTGTTGTTGTCCACGTAATTAAGCTACTTATTACTACATTGTTTTTGTTTGCGTGTAGGTGCACTAAGATATTTTTACGTATGTGTATTTGAAAAAGTAGTCGCGGAAATACATATTCAATGAACTACAAAAAAAGTGGGCGTTGGTATTACAATATATTTTCTGTTTCTTTAATAAATAAATGTACTACCAATCGTTGA